GGAAGCATTCCTTTCACTGCATGCAACACCTACTTGCTATGTGGGCTGAATGGTGGGGAAGGAGACAGAGAAAAAAAAGAAGTACTAAATTTCCTTAAGATCCTTCCAAGAAAAGTCCAAGTGACACATCAAAAAAAGAGGACCTTCCTATCCCTGAGTAAGTCCTGATTAACTGCCGTAGGGAACTCAGATCATATGATGATGAGAATGCTAAAAAAAAGGAAAGATAAATTACTTCAGGCCTCATTTCCATTTCTGGAAAATCAGGCTTTAACATCTTTATGGCAGAAGCTATGCATACACAGCATATTAAAATTTCCTTCTTGGTAGGGGTCTTGGAATAAATGACATGTAACTAGCAAAAATGAAAGTTAGGCAGATCCATGTCCACCTCAGATCTGTCTTGGTGAGAGAATAGAAACCATTGAACTCCATGCAACCCGAAAAAAGAATTAATTGAACAGAAACCATATTTGATCACAACAGCCACATGACAAGGTTTGTCTAAAGGTTAACAGTCTTTCATGGAGACAAGCCTCATATGATGGTGCCTGGCTGCCAAAAAATGGGGTACATGCACAAAGAATGCTTTATTAGATACTTTTTATAACCTCAGTATTAAGAATAAGAACACCAACTAAAAATGCAGATAGTGATGTTTGTTGTGACTAATTTGACCTCTTGAAAGCAAGACCTATTAAATCACACCGTTTTTTGGCTGAGTTAGAAGTTTCCTTGGAGTAAATTAGGTCAAGAGGCCTCAGGCAGGTAAGCAAACCCCCTATACAGAAGAAGAGAAGGCTACATCTGTCTGTTGAGGACTGGTAAGCAAAAACATGGGCCTGAGGGGAACAATCTGTAGCAAATGGATAAAATTCAACCCATTTTTAAAAGTGGGTGAAAACTGCACAGCAGGGACAACCTATAGATTGCAAATAGGCAATATACAATGAGCTCTGCTGGTGTCTCTTACTGCAGCCCTGCATTTTTCCTTGCTTTTCCAACCCTGGGCTTCTCACATATCTCTGCCAGTGCCCTTCACTCATCATGTACAAGAATTCCTGCCATACCAGGTCTTTGGCTCCTGGAAAGAGAAAGAGTCAGTTATGCCAAAATTTGTGGCAGTTTTGTGATGTCAAAAAAAAATCCCATAGAGGACACTTTTCACTCGCAACTGAAAATTACAGACTTTGACCTCAGATCCCTGGAGGTGAAGGGACTACATTGACTTCCTGCAAATCAAGCCCCTAAATGCAGCACTTGTATGGAACTGGAGCACAATAAATGTTTTCTTTGAGCAGGACCTGTAGCTCTGGCATTCCTGAGCAGCTCTGATCTCCTACAAAGCTTAGCCTTTTGGGCTTTTGGGGGTGGTAAGGTTAGAGCAGCAGTGAGCAGCTCTCTTCCACTTCCAGGAGTTTCTGAGCTTGTAGGATTATTTCAGACATGGCTCCTGATGAACTGAGGCTGGGATCAGCCCTGAAAGGAGGAAGGTACAGGCTCTGGCATGTGCTTTGCAGCAGGTCTCTATCAGAGTCACAGGGCATGTAAATCACAGGGCTGGGTGTCTCCCACAGTAAGATGAGACGTGGATGGGGATTTGCAGCAGGGGCTGTACGTGCAGGCACAGAAAAGAGATGGGGGGCAGGGAGTCCAGTCTTGACACTCCTATAATTAACACTGTGCTGCAAGCTTACGAGGCTTAGGAGCTGGAAGGGGCAGCTGGTGTCACACAGACCCTGCTTGTTCTGCCAGACAGCCAAACTGTCCCCATTTAAAACTACAATAGAAACCAGATGGAGGAGGACGAGAGAGCGTGGAGCAAGGCACCAGTCAGAAGGGAAATTGAGTTATAAACACTCTGCACACAAAAGACAATACTTCTCTTCCCCTAGACAAAAATAAACCAGAAGGGCAGTCACAGTAACTCGTTCCACTCTCACTGGGGATCACCTCCAACTTCAGTGTGCACCTTCACCAGGCTCTTTTCCAAGACAACAGCCCATGCCACCTCCTTTACAGGTGTCTGCTACTCTCACTGGGTCAGGCACCACTTCTCCTCCTTCTGATCCCCCCAGCTCCCAGTGTCAGCACTGGGCACTGAAATTCCCACCTCCCTGCCCTGTTGGCTCTCCTGTCCCTTCCCAGTCACGGTGCTGCCACCCCCCAAAGCTCCCCAGCAGCAAGCCAGGTGCCCACTCTTTGCCAGCCTGGCAAAGGCTCCATCTGGCACTGGACTGAGCACTTTGGATCCCCAAGCAGCCCAAGCTGGAGAGGTCACTAAGAAAAGAGGGAGTGACCCCATCCAGTCACCAGTGGGAGGATGCCCTCCTGGCCTCCCACCAAAGCCAGCAAAGGGCAAGGAGGATGCTGGTCCAGCAGCAGATGCAGGCAATATCCTAGCCTTCAGTGCCACCTTCCAGAAGAAACTCTGAGTGTCCATGGGCTACAGAGGGACTCAGGGAGGAGGTTGCTGAGTCAGACACCCTAACCAGTCAGTGTGAAGGGTGCCCAGTTAGACAGTAAGTCAGCTAACCTGGACAGGGCCATGTGCTCAGGGTACCTCCACTGAGCTGGACTGAACAGCAGCATACTGAATTTTCTACTTTACCCTTCTGTTATTTTCTCAGACTACTCCTTGTAAGGATAAGCACTGCTGACAGACATGCTCAGGGCCTCCTTGGTAGTTGGTTTCTGCCACATGGTGGAGGTTTTATGCCCTCTCTAATTTTATTTTAATTTTAGTTCAGCTATTGGGAGGATAAATGCAGACCTTTCATTTCACCTGGAACACCAACTTTTTGATTTTTGACTTGCAGGAAATAGTTTGGATTTTTTTTTTTTTTAATTTCCCCTCACTATGAATCCTGCACCATAAAAAAAAAAAAAAAAGGCTGCAGACATTTTTATTTCATCCTTTTGGTTTTGTTATACATAAGTATTTTTTAAAATTGTCTTCAATGAACCTCAATAGTAGTGCATGCTTCCTATCATGCTATGTCAATACCGCGACAATAAAGGTCAAAAGTCTCCTGTTTCAATTTAAATTACTAAAATAGGAAATACTTCCTTTTATAAAGGGTTTCAGTCTGTACTAAGCGAGAGTTGTTATTTTGTACAAAATAATAACAAAATAGAACAAACTAATATATTCTGTTGGCCTCCTAATCACAGGAAAGGAACAACATTGTACAAATGGCAACATACTTGATCATCAGTATCTCTGATATGATATTCTTCTGCATTTCCTGACTTTCTACTGTAAATCACGAGTTTTAAAGCTGATTCACTTTTTTTTTTTTTTTTTTTTTTTGCTGACATGGCCTGATTTTCACTAGGCATAAGGTTGGTTGAGAAACAGGCTTGAAAGCAGATCAAGCTGTGCTCTCCTCCCTGCAGCTCACCCGAGCCCTAGTGCAGCACATCAGTCACAACACCAGATTTTCTCCCAGTGCACTGCCCTAACCAGTGGCAGCTAAGGATAAATCCTGCCTTCCCACCACATAGCATTTCCTTTGCCTTCCACTGTTTCCTCGCCAGCACCAGCCAGGGATGGAAGGGACCACAGCACCCAAAATCCATGCAGAGGGTCTCTCCTGCTCAGAGATTAAAATGGCAGAGCTGGGAAAGGGGATGGTTTGCCCTGTCAGGACATAAATGCTACAAGGACAAAGCTTCAGTTTCCAGGATGTCTGTGCATACTTTTCACCAGCACTAAGTTCATTTTACAGAATAAAAAAAAAAAAAAAGAAAGAAAAAAAAAAGCCAAAACCTGTTTCACTCTCAAATTCCAGTGTTGAATTTGGCTGTTAGCTGTGGCCAAGCTGCCACAACCCCTCCATACACACACACGCCTGTATTTGAACAGCATGAGACAGTAAACAGCACCAAACCAGCGTAAAAACAAACCACCTTGGTTTGTACAATTCACCTTGGCTTCTCTCCTTTAGCTGCCATAAACACAGTTTAAAGGGATGAATGGTTGGCACCAAGGTGATCCTGTCCACATGGGCAGCACAATTTATTCACTGTGTAAGTCACACACTTCATGTGTTTTTTCCCCTCTGCTTCTGTGAGAAATGGCCCTGCAGTGTCACAAAGGTTATCACAACAGTGCCATTCCCTGTGATGAAAGCACTGTCCTGTCACAGTTGTGATTTTGTGGGCAAAGATAAAGGAAAAACAGATCTCAAATCTGTCAGATGCTGCGAGCCATCACCCTCCATGGCCTGCGTGGGAAGTGGAAACACTGAGTGCTGTTTGGGATGTGCCCTTCTAATTCCAAGCACACACATTTCAACACAACCTGCAAGCTCACACATTTCAACACAACCTCCCTGCTTGGGAGTTTGAGTGAAGCCAACGGCACCACCTTCAAGGATATTTTTTTTCCCCCCATTGATATTATACCCAGCTTACATCTAACATATCTAAATAAGACATGTAGGAACACCTGATTTTGCAGAGCAGATCTGACAACTGTGATGTTTGAAGCAGGAATGAAAAAGCCCTTGGCAGACCCAGCCAGCTCACAGACAGCACACATCAAAGAGAGCCTAAGAGAAAGCACTGCCAAAGCAGGCACTGAATGCTGACTCTCAGCCCCGGCGGTCACCGTGCCCCTCTGAAATGTGACTTTACCTTGACATAGCTGGCAAATTCTGTCACGCAGGCACTTTTGAAAGAGGTTGTACTAAATACTAGAATAGTTTTGTTAGGAAAACATCCTGCTGAGAATTTCCTGAAAAAAAAGGACCAGATAACAGAACAGGATATCTCCACTCCTAGCTTTTATGACTCTGTGGTACAACCACCTCGGAAAACAGTGGCTCAGGTTCTGCATGGCAGGTCAATGAGCTGTGCACGTCCTCAGCTAACCATTCCAATCCTAACTACCCTGATCCACAGCAGATTAGGGTGGATATTGTACAGCATTTTGTTTACCACATCACAAGCAATCAGGATAAATAATTCTGGAGATGAGAGTAACTGGACAATTTATGCTGTGTCTGGGAATGGACTCGGGTGTAAGTATAGAAAACATCAGAATAGTTTTGGAGCTGCATGTAATGAATTGACCTCTGTATTGGTAAATGCCTAGATGCTGTCATGACAAGCAAGCTGTAAGACAGGAGTTCTGCCATGGACCTCGATTCTGGTGACAGGTACCAAAACCAGTAACAAATCCAAAGGCTGCCCCAGCTGATGGAGTGCAGGAGAAGGGCGATGCCGCTGCTGCAGCTCAAGGGAGCTGGGACAAGCAACCAGCCAGGGAAGAGCCCAGGTAAGTGTTGGGTGATGGGATGGAAAGCCAGCAATGTAGGCTTCATATGAAGTCTCTTGACAGCCTATTGTCTTTCATTCAGATTGATAAACAAGCTCATGGCATGTTTTCTGTATCAGGCTTTCCTTTCTTCTTCTGGTCTCATCTTAAGCACAGAAATCCAAGTAAGCCATGCTAACCCACTTAACTGCTGGCAACAAAGCCCCAGATTGCATGAACTGCATAAGTTTCTTCCTCCTCTCACCAGCTTTTGGTCTTCATATTTTCATTTACAAGAGCTTCAGAAGAAATTTCAAAATCAAGCACATCTTTTACTTGGGCCTACCACCTGATATAGACCTGCTCATTTTCTTACAGTCCCAAAATTACTGTGGAGGCAACTTGTAAGCTTTAACACATGCTTCTTGACTGTTGTAAGGAGGTAGAACCCAAAATCTCCCTCATCACTTTGAGATTCCTACATGGGATTATTAGGATTCCAGAATCAGGAGAGCAGCAATTCAAGGGGATCAATGCTCCCTACCTGAGTGTCAGTGTTAGTTTGTCCCTTAGTCCTTTTCAACTTGGACTCTAGTGTGCTAGGCAATAGGGATTCCAGCTTTCTCTTTATAATACAGACTTCTGGGGCTGTTAGAAGGAAATTCTGAGTGCTTAGATGTGCACCTGAAAAATACCAGTGACTAGTTAAACAGTTTTGAAGTCCTTTGTACTGTGCCCTTCACAAACACCATCTCCATACACCGAAATCTGCAGCAATCTCTAGAGGACATTGAATCTGCCTGCAGCTTCTGTGCTGCTCTGTAATGATCTTCCACTGCTCAACAGATCCTTACTTCCCTTTTGTAGCGGTGGCATGGTGGTGACAAAAGCAGCTAATTCCCAAATAAATGCTATTGGAAGGCTGTAGAAGAGAAAAGATGAAGCAAGGAACTGGGCTGTTATATCAGGAACACCCATGCTGCAGCAAAGTGGGCTGCTCTGCAGTTCTCTCTGCTGTTCTTTTCCAGGAAATTTCTGGAATGTGTAATTTTCCTTCAAATGTGCAAGGAGAGGATGGAGGCTCACTGGCACTCATGGTTCTCCTTCCATGCTTGCCACACATTCACAAGCATACATGACCACTCCCAAGCTTTAAAGCACACATCCAGCTGTGCCAGCTAACTCAGGATGGCAGTGCCAATGAGCTCAGATGCGTAAAAGGGAGAACAGGGGCTCATCATCCCACTGAGAGCCCAGGTTATCATTCATAGCAAGGTACAAACTAACAGAGAAACTGGTCCTGGACCAAGCTCTCATGTGGAAGAAAAATGGCATGATTGAATCTCACAGAACTTACTTATATCTTCTCCCTTCTTTTTCTTTTGCCCTCTGTTACACTGATGGACTGATGCAGACTGACACTGAGTTTTGCAGCAATGTTCTTTCACTCAGGCCTCTCCCTGATCTTGCCTCTAGGGCTCTCCTAGTCAAGAGCGGTACAGCAATTTCCAGAGGTTATTCCAAATGGGCTGTTTTACAGTCAACAACTTAGGGCAAAGAGCAGGAGAAATCGCTGAGGATCATTACATATCACAGGCAGACAGATGAGGAGCCTGAATGCAAACCCATGACGGCTGCAAATGAGAAGTGAAAGGCAAATGAAAACAGACTTTTGCTAAAAAGTAAATAAGGTTTTATGATTTCAGTCTGATTGAAAACAAACATGCAAAGGCACTAGCAATAATCAAGCATTATAATTTGTAGCCAAGCAGCATCAAATCCATTCCATCTTTGCTCAGTTGCTGAGCATATATTTAGACTGAGTGCTTTCATTGCCAGGTTGCCTGGGCCTGACCCAAAGAAACACACTCATACAAAAAATCCCATTGGACTCATCAGTGTGTTCCACAAAAGAAAACAGGATCAATTTGTTCTACACCCTCTCACCTTTTACTGAGACATGCAAATACTAGCAAAGGAGGTATACAAATGACAGAAGCATTTTCACCAGCTTTACAGGAGCACAAAATGATGGTGTGAGTTTCAGCACAGAGCGCAAAATTAAGATTTCTGCTGGCACTGGAAGGTCACCTAGTAATGCTCCCCCCAACCCTGCTCAGAGGAGGCTGAAAACAGGTCAGTATTTCTCTGAAGAGGATTAAGCTGTGGGTGACTGGGGTTGCTGATGTTTTCCTGGTGAAACAAGGTGCTGCTCTACCCATCCTAAGTCATGCCCAGGTATATGATCACAACAGTCTGTGGGCTCAGTTTCTGGATCTGAAAAACATGGGGAAAATTCTGCCAGAAGCAGCATCTGATCAGACACATATAACTCTACACAAAAATAAAGGCATATATCAGCATATAAATGTGTATGCATACATATACACAAATGAATGTATTTTTACACATACAACTATATTTGTTTATGTGTGTATGTGTGTGCATGTGTGAGGTTTCATGTGCATTACCAGGAAATTCTTCTTAGAGAAACAGATGGGTTTTACTGAGTTGTCAATCAAAGCCTAACAAAGTCAAAAGACGTGAAAGTCACGCTAGGCCAATGTCACGGGTCTGGGGGACACATCATGACATGCTGGTCCTCCTGCTTGTTGCTGCTGAAGGCTTTGCTGGGTGAAGCCCTCACCCACAGCCAGGGAAAGCTGTTGGTCTGGGGGATTGCTCCTCAAGCATGCATGGACATCTGCATCAGCAAGCCCAGAACCAGTCCCACCCAGTGGTTTGGTTAAGAAGGGCAGCCCATGGGATATGGGTCATGTTGGTTACACCTTTTCATCTTCAGGGGCTGCAGTACTCTAAAGTGTATTCTTTCAGCCGTGCTCACAAGGATTTTGTTTTCCTTTCCATACACCAGGGAGGGTAAAGAGCTCAAGAAGAAGCTGCTGAGCAGCCTGGCTCAAACATCTGCATGTGTTTGCTTCTTCAGGGCTTCTTGCAGAAACAGCAGGGAGCACAGCACTGCTCCATCTGCCAGCCTTGTGGCACATCAGGGCTCACATATGTTGCAAGAGGGCAGCTTGCTCACTCTGCAGAGCCTGAGAGAATCAGCAAGGACAGCAAAGGAGGCAGAACAACATTTGCAGATGGTGTCACAATGCCTCCCAGCCCTCCAGAGGCTGAGCTGGGCTAGGATTGTTTAGAATGTTTCCTGCCATGCTGTTTGTGTCTGTCCACCTCCACCTCAGGATGTCAGCACACAACTACTGACATGCACCCAGAGGACAAGGAATGGTTTCTCCAAGGCTAAGCTGCAGGGACTGGACCTCTGCAACTGCCTGCCGGAGGTGGAAGGGCATCAGAAATAGAAACTAACTCTGTCAGATGGTCAGGGATGAAAGGAGGCACAATGTTGCTTTTAAAGACACTGGTAAAAGAGGAAAAGAAATAAAGCTGAATAAAATACTCAGCATGGTGGTATCTCCTTACTTCTCAAGAAGGCTTCTATCCCCTCACCTAGTAAGGACAAGTCAGGAAAGACATCCATCTACACAACACTTTTCTTTGTACTCACGAGGCCCTTCTGCTCCCAGTGGTATCACTGTCCCCATGTCTTTCTGCACAAGAAATCCTCCACAGGGGATACAAGCCTCTCACTCCCTTCACCTCTCAATAAACATGCATGCCAGGGGTTATCAAACTAAGGGTCATTCTCAGTGCTAACAATAGGAAAAAACCCAATACCAAGCAGTTACTAAAGCAGTAAATCTAATCACTTGGCAATTGTGTTCCTCGGTTTCCAAGCCCCCCAACAGATTCCTGATATAGTCCATATTTCACACTTTATTTTGTTTTCCATTTTGCAAAGGGCAGGCTCTGAAGCAGTATGAAGAAAAACAACTTTCCTGCTCCCCCTCCCCCACTTTTTTTTCCCCCCCATGCTATCTGTGCTCCAAGTCAGGCCAGGTAGTGCTTATCATTTCCTCTGCACAGCAAACACCAGGGTGCATGCGTTTCCTGCTGGCTGGTCCTGAACTGCGAGCTGACATTGTTTTCAAGGCCCCCTCTCTCAGAGGCAGGAGCAGCTCTGCTGCACAGCTCTTCCTGTTGATGTCAGGCTCCTCTTCCTCCTAAAGCAAATGGGCTTCCTGACGGCATCTGTGTCCTTTTCCATGAGGACTGGCAGGAACCATTTTCCTACCCAATGGCAGGGAAAAGAAAAAAAATAGTACTGGAGAAAGAGATGTAATAGGGAGGAGCAGAGGTGGATGGGTTTTTTCCATGCTTTTTCCATACTTTTTTTCCAAGTAGTCTTGGAGAACATCTGGGGTCCCTCTCAATGATGAGGAGGGAGAAGAGATAAGAGGTCAAATCAATACAGTTATGTCTTAGGGATGCTGGTATTTGCAAGTAGCAGAAAATCACTTATTAGCAGAGACCATCAGAGACTAATTACAGCTGCCGATTTCCCACTGCTAAGGAATGTAAGCTCACAATAGAACAGCTACAGCCACAGCCCCTGCGTTCCAGCAGTGCTGTCATAAGCTGTGGGAAATGCCAAGACCTTTAGACCAGACTATTGCCTTCCTTTTTATTCTCTCAAATGGAGGAATCACTACCACTGCCAGTGCTGTTTCATCAGCAGTGGAGAAAATGGGCGACAAATGTGCAGAACACAGCTCACACCAAGCTGAATCACTTCAGCTCCACGGACTGCCACTGTGTGTGTCACTGCCACAGCAGAGAAGAGGAAACCCAACCAGACATCATTTCAGGCCTCCCCCAGCCCATGGTATTCAAGGTTTGCACCGTCCCATTAGAGAAGCCAATGGGCTTGTCCCACCTCCCATCAGGAAGTCTGCAGTTTGCTGCACAGTGTAAGAAATAGACATGGAGCCTGCGGCTACAGGGACACACAGCAGCGCAGAGGGTGAGGAGCACAGCCAGAGGGTAACAGTGCTGCCTGCCCTTCACAGGATTTCAGCACAGGGGTCCCATGGCCTCCCTCACAGAGCAAGGAGTTGAGTCCCCTTAGGACATGCACCCCAGCAGGAAAGGGCTTCTCTTGACTGGGGAAATGGAGCCCCCCAGCATTTTCTATACCACTTCCATACCACTGTAGCCAAACAGGTGGGGTGGGGAGGGTGTTCACTAAAGGGTGCACAGCAATAACCAGAATAGGACCTGTCCCTTAGCAGACTGTCTAGAACTAGTGCTCCTAATTGTCCTCTGGGATGAGTCATAAGTATATGTTAATAAAATACATTCTTATAATGTGATATTCTCCTTTTTTTCCTATTTGTGGCCTAGTCACCTTCCTGAGACACTGCAGTAACTAAGCAAAGGACTATACCTCCAATTTCTGTCTGCAGTTTGCCACAAACTAGAGGCCAACAAAATTATTCCAGCTGTATGCAACTATAGTCAACAGCAGATGTGGCCCCAAGCCTGGCAGAGCCAGCAGAGCTGCAAGAGAGTGAACTGGGGCTTAGTTTTCCTCACCAGAAGAAATTCTTACTCAAGGTGCAGTTGCAAAATCTTAAATGCTGGTAAGACGCAAAGGAAAAGAGCCCACCTACATTCATTCTCCCAGCAGGAGCTGGCCAGGGCTGCTGAAATGTGCAGTGCTGACTCTGGAGCAAGCATTCCCAGGCACAGAGGGTGTGCCCCCCACGGCTGGAGCTGTGCCAGTGCTCACACACCACAGTGGGATGGGGAGCTGCTGTGGCAGCAAAATCACCCTTGGCTGGAGGGGGGCACAGGAGACACCGAGCCCACCGAGCCCACATCTTCCTGCCACCCTCTCCCCCTCTCCAAGCACCGCCTGCTATTCGTGAATGAATTACCTCAATCCCTCTTAAGCAGTGTACTGACCAGGAAAAGGGCGTGGGGATTATTAATGGAAAAATCCTTGAGTCTTTCAGCCCTGCAGTGTGGCTACAGTTACAAGGAAAACAGGATACCAAGCGGCATATGGGGAGGAGGAAGAGAAAAGGAGCACAAACTGTAATGACCTGCAGGGATTAGCTGGGGAGGAAGAACAAAGTGCCGGTGGGGAATAGGCACAGCTGGCCCAATGACCACAAGAGAAACGAAGGCACACAGCAGTGGTCTGCACAGGGAGGCACAGCATCGAGGGAAAGAGCTGCCTCTGCGTGATCAAGGGCTTGTAGCCATGAGTGAATGGAACTGTGAGAGGACATTAAAGAGTAGATAAAACATCCTAACGCTGGGACACACTATCATGAAGAATTGCCTTCTCAGGGACAGGGTGGGAGGCAGGCTTCCTGGATATTCAAAATCCATCAGGAGATTACTCTGAATGGAATGGTTCTGCACTGGCCACTGAGACAAAGACAAAACCATCTCACCAGCCTTCCCATGTCATTATCAGGTGGTGCCTTTTAAGCCACAGAAACATTCCCTGGAAGAGTTTGCTGAGTTAAAGGAAAGCATAAGTGCCAGCACTCACTACAGCAAGGGACAACCATAACCAGCAGCTGGAGTTTAAATTGGATACTAGAGCATGTGGGAAGAAAGGCCACTTGAAAATCATCCAGCTGAAAGATTTTCCAGTAGGAAAGTGTGCGTTTCACAAAATCCAAATGTTTCACCAGAATGCATGGATTCTGTTCAATTTTTCAACCAAGACTCAGTTACACTGTTTCTAGAAGGTTAAATATATTTACTCCTTTATTGTTATTTTTCACTTAATTAAACCTTTTAGAGAATTTTTATTTAGGGGTAGTTTCTCCTTTTTTATTCCAGTTCTGGATGAAAGGAAATCTTGTGGTAGAGGAAGATGGAGTACAGTACAGTGCAAAACAGGAACCAGCTCTAATGGTCATTGAGTGATATCATCAATGCCTGCCTAGTGTTTGCTCCTCTCTGTACACTTCTGAGGATGGCAGCACTGTTCCTTGCAAGCTGAAGCCCAGAATATTGCATGTTTCTTGACAATGAATGAGAAAAAAGGAGGTGAATGTCCTATGCTTGGCTTTTCAACCCTCAGGACACAAAACCCCCTCATTTGAAATCTTGCTTGTATGTCACGTCCCCCATTGTGAGGATAAAACCTCAGCACAGTCTCACAAAATGTGCTTTGCTTATGTCAGCAAAAATCTAAGCCCTCGGCAAGGAGTCATGAATTAACAGAGGATAAGGATCATTCTCATCCCATAGGTGCAAACAGGAGAAACTGAAATTATTTGTCAGCCTGAGTCATGCACTGAGATAGAGGAAGAGCTAAGGTTAAGAGAGAGTTTTCTTGTATCTCAACCCCTGGCAAACAGAAACTTATGTTCAAAAATTCAGAAGTTGGTAAAGCATGCAGAAATTGCAACTGGTTTGTCAGAATCACTGACCCAGAAAGTTGAGTTGAAAATCTCACACAAATGTGTTTTTCTGGAAGAGGATCAATTTCCCCCAAGCTTCCACCAAACCAGAAAGAATCTCCCTAACCAAAATCCTACCTTAAACGTGAACATACAGGCTAAAACCTCAGGAGATTTGAATCAGAGATCACTGATCAGATGGTCAGAGAAACCTTTTGGGTCGTTTGTCCTAGAAGTCAGTTGGTGCCAAAAGACCAGACTTCAGTAACTCTGTTCCTGGGAATGTTTGGAATTGGTCCTGTGCTTTGTGGCTTGGTGTCACTTCTATAATTCTTTTCTTTTTTTTTTTTTCCTCTTGAATGGTTGTCTCATAACTGAATACCACAATAATAGCAAGACTGTATCAAGGGGTCATCTAGGGAGAAACTGCAATATTTCTGATCATTTCAGGGAAGGGAGGTTGGGGGTAGGGGGTGGGTGAGGAGAGGCCTGAATTCCTTGCAAAAGATGCTCTTTCTGTTTACATATCAGTTATACCACACTTCTTGCATTCCATGTCTACTGACTTCTTCCATCTCCTCAGCTACTCATTATTTTCCTTTTTTTATCTTTCATTTTAATTTCACAGCACACTCAGTTTTCAGCATAACTTTCTTTCCCTGGAATTCAAACTCAAGCCCCACCTTTGGGACCTGGATGGAGGTTTAAAATGCCTCCCCAGCAAAAATGCACTTGGATCTGGCATTTACAATTCAAGCCCATATCTTCCAACTGCAGCTCTAAACTGCATCAAAGACTTTTGTTCCTAGCTTTTGTTCCCATCCCTCGTTCCCTTCTCTGTTCCCCTGAAATGTCAGCAAGCACAATGGCTTTGTTGGTGCCATCAGGGTGGTCTGCCCGCTTCCCACGCCGGCCACGCGGATTGGCCAGCCATGGAGCAGCCAGCAGGTCACTGGGTGTCTCCTCCAGGATGTTGTTGTTCCTCACACCAAAGCAGTGGCCTGAAGCAGCAACACTGCCATGAAATCAACAGAAAACAAATCCACCTCCAGCTGCCCTGGCTGGCACGAGGACGCACGGACTGTTCCAAACCAGCAGCTGCTGATGCTGCCAGGCACACAGGAAAACCATGCTGGGGGCTCAGGGC